GGCGGCGCACGCGGGGCACAGAAGTGGGTGGCGAGGTAGTGTTCATATCAGTCGGGGCGGGGCGCGCAGGGTCCGAGGCTCGGCGCGGTCCCGCGTAGGTGTGCGCGCGGTGGCGAAGTCCGGGTCGGGGGACGCCTGGGTGGCCGAGGAAGAGCGACTCCTTTCGGCGCGTGTGCGGGCTCTCGAGCAGCGCACAGAAGCCGTAGGCAGTGCGCGCGCGGGGCAGGTGCGGTAGCGACAGGGCGGCCTGTGAGCGCGGGTCCCAGTCGGTGCGACCCGTGTGGTCAAAGTCATTATCATCGCAGTCGGTGGGGGTGCGCAGCCACAGGTCGGGTTCGGCCGCGCAGCGCCAAGGTAGTGCGGCGGCCGGTAGCGGCGATTCGGGAACGCAAGGAACGGGCAGCCGCGGAGGGATGCAAAACTCTGGGATGCGGCCCGGAGTGAGCACGTTGGAGAAGGCGGGCTCGGGAGTCGAGGAGCGGAGTCGACCGAGGAGGCGCATCCTCCTAGTCTGGGGTTCAGCGCGGCGAACAGAAGCGTGCCTGCAACACAGAGAAAAACAGTTGAGTTTCGGCTCCTGGAGTCCAGTGGATCCCTCCCTTGATCCTCTGAAATCCTAGATCCCAGTTCCTCTAATTCCCACACATCTAGGGGTCCGGATCAGCACGAGCCTTTGGCACATTCTCATGCCCATCCTGCATTCCAGTTATCAAAACTAAATACACGAATATATAGAAATCAGACCTTTTCTTCTTCGGTCTCACTGGGTCTGATTGCAAGGGCACTACGATGACTTGCCGTTCACAGCTGGGGCTTGCTCCACCTTCAGCACTGCAGCTGGGACAGTGGCGTGCCTCTTTTATACCATAGCCGGAGTCCCGCCCAGCTTTCAAGAGCCCAATCCCAAGCGACAATGGACAACCCACCTTGTAGCCATCTCCTCCTTCTAAGTCGCAGTAGCTGGCTCTGGGACCTGCCTTGGCTGCCCCTGCGCTTGAGCGCCACATACAGGCCTGGGAAATGTTGCAGGTGACTAGAGGTCACCCTGTCACCTTGCCAAAGAGGATTTGGCAGTTCAAAGTGTTTGTGGCCTCTCAGAGAAGGCAAGGAAGGATGAAGAAACGGACAGCTGAATTTGGCAACAGTAAATCCGCCCCCCCCCCCACTAGGCGCGTGATCTACACTCACGTTCCACTGACTTCTATTTTTCTGCCCCCATTCATCACCGTGTGCAGGCGGTGTACACCTGCTTCCAAAGACAGACTAAACTTGGCATGTCCGTTTAGGACGGGGTTACATGCAGACAGTTTTTGAGAAGTTGAAAATGCATTAGTCAGTCTACCCTTAACATATTCGGACGCCTTGTATTCAACACTGGTAGTTCAGTACCTCATTTACTCAAACACTGTGCAAGTCCTAAGTCCCGGGTCCACACCTTATTTAGCCTCTGTCTCCCTCTGCCGGACTCTCCCTGAAATCACACGATCTGGGCTACCAAATGCCTTGGGCATTGGTGACCTGAGTGAATTAATAATATGCAAAAATTTTCTGGATGACTATAAGCTAGGGCAAAAGATGGAAGTTCTGCTCAGATCCCTAAAAATACTTAATTTTTCAAAGCTACCATTTTCTTTCTGCCCTAATATGGACCTATCCAGAAAACAAAATCTTCCACAAAACCGAAGGACACTCTTGGCAAGGCCTAACCTTTATTTGCAGAGGTGTGGAAGCTGAAATCTGAGGGACTTGAGGAAACTATGCAAAGGCTAAAGAGAGTGTGTTGATATGGAAGCTGCAGCAGATCTGGCATGTGGTATTTCCCAGTCTGAAACGCCCTTTCTCTGTTTTTTGTTTTTGTTTTTTTGTTTTGTTTTGTTTCTGGGGGTATAGTATTGGGGATGATATCCCAGACTCACACACAGCAACAAAGAATGCCTTTGAACCACATCCCCAGGCCTATTTACTTATTTTGAGAGAGGGTCGGTCTTACTAAGTTACCCAGGCTGACCTGGAATTCATTCTGTAGCCTAGGCAGGCTTTGAACTTGTAATCCAACTGCCTCACCTTCTTGAAGGCTGGAAATACAGAACTATGACACCAGACCCTGCTGACTTTAACTTTCTATAGGCATTATCCTATCAGGAACTGTCAGGAAGTCCTGCAAGCCTCAAGGTCTGCGAGGAAATGTGTTGTAAAAGGAGAGGTGGGTTGCTTTTCATACAGCCCACTCCCGGCCGCCCAGCTAGCTCTACCCGAAATAATTACACGGAAACTGTATTCATTTAAACACTGCCTGGCCCATTATGTCTAGCCTCTTATTGGCTAACTCTCACATATTAGTTTAACCCATCTCCAAAAATGTGTATTGCCACTTGACTGTGGCCTACCGGCATGAGTCTAACCAACATCAGTCTCAGAGAACCATGGCGTCTGCCTGACTCTGCTTTCCTTCTCCCAGCATTCTGTTCGATTTACTCCACCTATCTAAATTCTGCCCTATCAAAAGGCCAAGGCAGTTTCTTTATTTGACCAATGAAAGCAACACATAGAAAGAAGACCCTCCTATACCAGAAATGATCTGTGCAAGGTGAAGAATGAAGGCCGAGTCAGCACCACTTTTGCAAACACTGGGCCAAAACCTCCAGACTTTGACCTCAGGATTTAGTTTCCTTACACATTTCAACACAGAAAAACTTTGGGGAAAGGTTTCCACATGACAATGATCACAGTAAAGCTTTCGGTATCGATACATAGAAACTCCCTACCAAGATAGCAAAGCACATGTGATCTTTACAGTAAGGATGAGTCCTGTTGACTGTTGAACAGTGCTCAGGGCAAGGGCCTAGAGAGGAAGGGTTTGTAACAAGCCCAAGGATAGATTCTGTTGGTGGAGGCTGCAGAGTACACGGAACGTCTTTCATAAGGAAGGGTTCCATTCACCGAGAGACGAAGCTCGGGATTAGAACCTGAATTTTGAAGGACTCAGGAGACCTGGCTCCTTAGAATAGAGAAAAAGGAAAACCCACCGGGTTGCCAGACAACATTTACTCCAGCCTGCCGGGAGACCAGGACTCGTCATTTCAGGACTCTATGTTGTGCCGGTTCTGGTTCCTCCAATGCTTTCCTTCAGCTGTGTCTCCTACAAGGAACTTTGGTCCAGCACCTCTTCTGCAGCTCATCCTCACTCCCTCCAGTCTCAGTTTATGCACCACTGTGGTATTTCACATGATGTTTTGGAAATCTTGCCTTGTTGCTTCTTCTTGCCTAATAGGCTGAGTTTCCTACTATAAAGTTCCTTAAGACATCTGTGGTGGTTTGAAAGAAATTGGGCCCCCAAAGAGAGTGGCACTATTAGTAGGTGTGGCTTTGTTGGGGTAGATGTGGCCTTGTTGGAGGAAGTATGCCACTGTGGGGGTGGGCTTTGATGTCTCATATATGCTCAAGTCACGCAGTGAAGCAGATCACTTCCTGTTGCCTGTGAGTCAAGATGTAAGGACTCTCAGCCCCTGCTCCAGCACCAGGTCTGTCTGCATGCCTCCATTTTGTTCTATGTTGATAATTGACTAAACCTCTGAAAATGTAAGCTACTTCAATTAAGTGTTTCTTCTTTATAAGAGTTGCCATGATCATGGAATCTCTTCACAGCAATAGAAACCTTAACTAAGAAGTTGCTACTAGGGTATTGCTGTGATAGACTTGACCATGCTTGTGTTTGGAGGAACCTGGACTTTGGAAATTTTGGTTAGGAAAGCAGTGGAATGCTTTAAATTCTCTTCATGGGTCAAACCAGTAGAAGCAGGGAAGGCAGTGGTGCCAAGAATGACTTGAACTGTCAGGGCTGAGTCAAGAAGTTTCAGAGAAGAATTTTAGTATGTTGCCTAGAGATGGTTCTTGGGATATTTTAATGAAGAAAGTGGCTGCTTGTCTGAAAAGTTTGCCTGAGGCTAAAGTGACAGTTTTGGATTAATTTTCTTGGCATAGGAAATCTCAAAACAGCCTAGTTGTGTGATTACTAGTGTTAATTTTAATGAAGATATATAATGAAAAGGAACAAGAAAATGTAAATTTTGAGGAAAAAGTGAGCACCAGAAAGTGAAATGGAGCTAAGTTCTGTGCTCAAGAAGATAAAGACATTAAGAAATGGAATAAAGGGAGTGGTGACCTCAGGGAAAGATCCCACCCACCTAGGTTCCAACTTGTGAAAAGGAATTAAAGAAAAGCTGAAAGCAGAGTGGGGTGGCACACACCTTTAATCCCAGCATTCAGAAGGCAGAGGCTGGCACATTTCTGAGTTTGAGAACAGTCTGGTCTGCAGAGCAAGTTCCAAGACAGCCAAGCTTAGAGAGTGAAGGTAACCATTGAAAATAGAAAGTTGGTGAAGATGTAATTGAACAAGGGGGCCATGTTCCAGCCCCAGTAAGCAGCTGAACTTGGCAGCTTCAACCATGTGGTTTGGGAGTTTAAGACAGAAGAAATAGACTGTGGAATTTTCCTCTATGACTAAGGAAAATGACTGAGACCAGGCATGTGTAAGGAGGGTCCCTGAACAGAGGCCTAGAGAGACCATTGTATGAAGCTGTGAAGTTGACAGCTGGTTTGCCTTGGAAACCCCAAGATGTTAGAGGTGCCAAAGTCATGGGATATCCACCAAATCAAAACAGGGGTGCATGTGAAATGAATGGGGATGTCTCCAAACACACCCAAGTCTCATCTCAAGCTCGCCACATGGATCGGATTTCCGGCATGGCCAAGACTTCAATGGAAAGAAAGCCCTAAAATCTAATGGGTCCTCTACCTTACTGGCCATGTACTCCAAAAGGGGAACTCACCCCATCAAAGCCAATCTTGCCTGTCAGAGAGCGCACTAAGGGCATTTACCAGCATGTGGGAAAAACAGACCCCCTCAGTGGGAAACCTGCATAATGTTAGGAATATTCTTAAGAGGAGCCTCTCCACCAATGCAAATAATTCTAATCAGACCAAATTAGACTGAATCAATGTCCATGTTTACTGCAGTGCTCCTGGGAGGTTGGGAAAGCATGGTGGGGAAAGAAAGAGACAGACAGAGGGTCGGGGGCACGCAAAACCCAAAGACCACGTGTTCTTTTTCTTGGCGGCAGCCTAAATAGCCTGTGGGAGTGGTCCTGATGGGCTTTTCCAGAGGTGGAGTCCAGACCAAGGCAATTCCCAGGGGAAGGGGGCTTGAGATGGAGTTTTCTGCTCCATTGATGCCCCAAGGATGAATGCCAGGGCTTGGGTGAAGCTTTCAATCAATCAGAAGTATATAATTTACTTTTTTGATTTTGATTTTATAGGGTATTAAGAGATTGTATGGATCTCAGAAGAGACTTTGAATTTTAGACATTAAAAGTTTAAACTTTTTTTGAAAGTTTGAGACTATTTTAGTCCATTGGGACTTTTGAAGTTGGACTAAATGCATTTTTGCATTATGATATAGCAACAAGCCTTTAGGGGCTATGGGGGTAGAATATGGTGGTTTGAATAAAAATGACCCCCAAAGGGAAGGGTACTTTTCAGAGATGTGGCTTTGTTGGGGTAGGTGTGGCCCTACTGGAGGAAGTGTGTCACTTGGGGGTGGTCTTTGAGGTCTCATATATGCTCAACCCACACCCAGTGTCTCAGTCTACTTCCTGTTGCCAGATGTAGCCAGCACCATGTCTGTCTTCATGCCACCATGTCCTGCCCTGATGATAATGGACTGAATCTCTGAAAATGTCAGCTACCACAATTAATTGTTTTTGTTTTATAAGAGTTGCTGTGGACATGGTTTTCCTTCACAGCAATAGAAACCCTAACTAAGCCAACACCATATATGTCATAAATTATAGGAACCAGAGTGAATAGTTGGGGTGAAGGAAGAAATGAGAGAAATTGGAGCAACACAGAGTAATGAATGACTGGGCACCTATGAATATATTTATAATATATACACATAGTCCATCTGCTACAGAGCCCCAAACTGCCTTCATTCAAGTTATCCTGGTCCAAGTTGTTAGCCTGACATCTTACTCAATCCCTTTTAATTCCAGGACCAGGGATAGAGTCCTAGGCAAGTAGTAAGGGCTCAGTCAATATTTGATGAGTTATATTGCACTTAATTGATAGTAATCTACCGTTCAGTTCTTATGACTGTCAGATGCTTCCAACTATCTTACTAGCTAGCTACGTTATTTGATTTCTTTCTTGTAATAAACCAGCAAGGCAGATGTTTCTGTTTGCCAGATGGGAAACTGAGGTGCACACTCAAGACCTTGTTTAGGGTCATTTGCCTGAACCTGGCCATAGCTAGTGAGTTCCAGCTTTCTTGCTAATTTCTGATTATTCCCTTCCTTCTTTCTCCATTCACTCTGGTTTCTGTAACTGAGGTGTTGTGTGACTTATGGATGACCAAAATTTTGCTTGTTTGTTGAGACAGGTCTCACATGATAGCATTGGCTGGCCTTAGATTTGTGGTGATCCTCCTGCCTTACTTCCTTAATGTTGGAATTAGAGACTTGCACCAATAAGCTTTGAGAAAATGTCTGATTGGTTGATTTTGTTTTGTTTTGTTTTGTTTTCAAGCCAAGATTTCTCTGTGTAATAACCCTGGCTGTCCTGGAACTCACTTTGTAGATCAGACTGGCTTTAAACTCAGAGATCTGCCTGCCTCTGCCTCCCAGTTGCTGGGACTAAAGGCATGTGCCACCATTGCCTGACTAAAATATCCTTTCTTTAAACACTGGAGTCTATTCCTGTGTATTTCCTACTATCCTTTCTTTGGAATAACTCATTATGTCCAAATCCTTACATGTGGGGAAAAGTGAACTTCACTCTGTATAAATACCAAATTCTTTGTTTCTCCTTCCCCCTTCCCCTACAAGAGAATCACATTTCTCTTGTAGCTTCTTTTTGTGATTGGTCAAGTATTGATCCATATGAACCCTACAGGGTCAGGGTCATTCAGATAAAGCCAAATTCAGGCAGAGGTGCTTTGGGGGATCCCTGACCATCTTATTCCCTCTGATTCATCAGGTCAGTTGTCTGGAGTCATTGCCAAAGGGTTATTCCTCTCTAAGGCAGAGCACATTTGAGCACATCTGAGATAGACTGGCAGGGCTATGTAGTAAATTGTGTATTCAGGGAATTAATGGTGGGAACGGTTAATCAAATCAGTGCCTTTTCTTCCTCATTGAGGAGCGACAGGCTTTTTCCTATCATTTTAAAAAAGATATTTAGTTTAACTATCTAGACTAACCTGTGGTTACCTTTTAACAATCATTAGTCTTGTTCCTTTGATGTCAGACATTTGCTTCCTTCACGTAGGTACAATGTACACAGAACCCTTAATCATTTTTGCAAACATGGTACTTATTTAATCCTTGAGATAATGGAAATCTAAGACTCAAGCTACAGCTGAGGAAATGGAACTTTGTAATTCACAATGGCTGAACCATTGCTAAGGCTGGCTTGTGACTCCCATGCTGTGGGAGCACCTTCCGCTCCTTCAGCCACACTCCCAACCATATTTTATCTTGGGGCTGTAGAGATGGCTCAGTGGTTAAGAGCCCTGGCTACTCCTCCAAAGGATCTGGGTTCTATTCTTAGCAACCACATAGCAGTTCATACCCATCTTTAACCTTAATTCCAGGGGGTATTAAGGTCATTGAGCTTTGTCGGGCCCGACTGAGACACAGCAAGGCTCTAAGAATAAGGTGTCCAACTTGGGGAGATGGACAACTAGGACTTCCGGTGATAGCTTTTCAGCCTGTGAAAAAATACCATGAGAATGAAAGTAAAAGATTTTTTGGCTTATGGTTTCATAGGTTTTCATCCATAGTCAATGAATTGTTCTATCACTTTGGGAACCAAGGAGGCAGAATATCATGTTGAGGGTGTATGAATGTGTGTATGTGTTTTGTGTGTGTGTGGGGGTGGGAAGCTGTTTATTTCATGGCAACTAGAAGCAGAGAGAGCAGGGAAGGAACTGGACAAAACCTCCCCCTCGATGCTGCATTTCCAATGCCCCCTCACTTCCAAGAGTTTCTATTATCTCCCTCATAGGCCATCAGACTCGGAAGCAATGAATAAATTAATACATGTCAATATCAGTGCCCTCCAGGATGTCAACGTCTCATAGTAGTGACGCTCTAAACATTACTACATGGTGCTACAGGAGGTTTGGTGGGACATTTGAGACCCAAACCAGGAGGGCAACTAACACTGGCACTCTGTTTACATTTGGCATTGCTGAGGCAGTGGCCCCCATAGGGAAGGGAAGCTGTGTGCTAGGCCTCGAACTAACAAGATCCACAGCAAAGTGAGTCCACTATGTTGGTTGGCGGTACAGGGGAGTTGCCTGGATCTGAAACCATGGGTCTTAGACAGGAGCAGCTACAAAGCAACCCATGGTGGTAAATGTGTTGTTCTCAGTTAGTGGAACTGTTTGGGAAGGATTAGAGGTATGGCATCCTCTTGTTGGATTGTTGGATCCAATTGTTGGATTGGATGTAGCTTTCTTGGAGGTGTGACACTGGGGATTGGCTTTGACATTAAAAAACCCTTGTAGGCCTACTTTTACTCTCTCTCTCTCTCTCTCTCTCTCTCTCTCTCTCTCTCTCTCTCTCCCTCCCTCCATCTTTTGCATCAGATGTAAACTCCCAACTACTGCTGCTGTTCCATGCTTACCTGCCTGCTGCCAAGTTTCCCACCATAATAGTCACGGGCTATCCCTCTGAAACCATAAACAAGACCTCAATTAAATGCTTGCTTTTATAAGTTGCCTTGGTCATGATGTTTCATTGCAGCAATAGAATAGTAGCTAAGGTACAACACAACCCAATGGGCCAGAGATAAAGGTCTCCACGCTCCACTAGTTTTTTCCCAGTTAGGATGGACTCTGGCACAACCAGCAACTAAGAAGCCTACACTGGTTAATATAGAACAGCTATCACTGTGCTTCTTAAGTTAAAGACTCAAATATAACATCTTTGCACTCAAATAATATGAAGAGACCATCATCATCTACTATGTACAGAACCAAACATTTCGTTTATGTTTGGAAGATATTTTATACACATTTTCTTCAGCTTGTCTGTCATCAAGGTACACAGAATAGTGTTCTAATATCATTTTGAAATACATTGTGAGTTGGCAGATCCCTTCAGAAGGTGCAACATGTATGCACCTCCAAGCTGGATAGGTGACAGCATAGAGTTCTACGAGCAGTGACCCATCATTCCCAAGAAGCATCCATGTCATAGAATCTGCCAATCCCATGCTGCTGTGCAGAGTGATACCTGCCCTCCCCCACACCCCTTTCCATGTCAGAAAAACTTCCAGATATCACATCCTGAGGCTCTTGTCTGGATCTCTGGCTGGTGACCACTCATCTTCTGCCATGGGACCTGTGGGCAAAAGTAGAATCATGAAACCAAGCACACGTCAAAGCGTTATTTTCAACGTGGGGCTTTAGGACACAAGAAGCTGAGAAAACCTAAAAAGCTACAAGAGAGTGTAAGTAGATCCAGTTGCTCAAAACACATACCGGGCAAACACAAAATTAGAAGAAGATGCACAGAAATTACAAAGTTACAGGATATGCAAGAAAAATGACACCAGACAGCTGACTCCAGACGACTGGAGATGCATCTCTAAATTTGCTTGCCTGAATTTGTTCAAGTGTAGATGAATTAAATGTGCAGATGAACTCCTGCCTCGAGAAGGTGATCCTTCTGGAAAGACACAGCAAAGCATCTTTACGCAGAAAACAAGAAATGGTCACAGCTGGAGGATTCAGGTAGGCAGGCTTTTGAGTGGGTGACTGCAACACGAGTTGCCACTTCAACTCCAGCAAACGTAAGGAAAGGCAGGTGTAAGGAGAGGCAGACGTAAGGAGAGGCAGGCGTAAGGAGAGGCAGACGTAAGGAAAGGCAGACATAAGGAGAGGCAGACGTAAGGAAGGGCTGCATGTAATAGGACGAATACATGAGTTCCTTGAAAGCACAAAACACAGTGAGAAGGGGCTATAGGAAGTCCAGTGTGTGGCCCATGAACCGCCTGCAGTCAAGGACAGCTATGAAAGTGACCCAACACCAAATCAAATGTTCGGAGGTTTTTCTGTTGTTTTCTTGTTTGCTTTGTTTTTATATTGTTGATTCAATTGAACAGTTCTGAAGTGTGAACTTTGTAGAGGACAGTGTCACAAGCTAGAACACAGTTACTGATGTAGTAGCCCATGGACAGTCTGCATTCCCTCGGTGCCCTAACTTGATCTAAGCGGGCACCTAAGTTTGTTTCTATAGGAACCTCTGGAACCACTTAACTTGACTTGGTTTAGCGCAGTACACAGGATCAGCTCAGCAGTATAGCTGAGCATTGGACATGAGGTGGTCATCCTAGTCCCTGGGGATGTACACCTTAAGGAGAGTTATCAAGGAGGGAGGACTGAAGGACTTGCTATTTGAAACTTGTTTCTGGACCTATAAAGCAGTTAGTGTCCTAGAGGACAGTGAGTGGTGGGATTTTGTCTGTGCTTTGACAAAGCCTGCCTGAAGAAAGTATAAGATTGAGAGACATCAAAAGATAATTTGGGGTTGGTAATGCAAATTAAAATAGTGAATTAGGTGCAACACTTTGGACTCACCAAGATAGGATAGCTAATGGAGTATTTTCTCTGAATTTGTCAAATGCAAATGAGCTAGACATATTGTTGATATATCCATTGCCTGTATATAGTGTATATAGTTATCGTACTTATTGTATATAGCTTTTTATATTAGTTATAACCTTTTTTATTTTAGACAGAAAAGGAAATGTGGTGATATTTTGTTTGTGCTTTAACAAAGCTTGTCTGAAGATCAGAGAAGCAGAGCAGCCACCAGCTCTTACCTCTACAAAGTCCTCAGACCGAATGGGGTGTCCTGTCTCTCCCAGTCCTCAGACTGAATACTGTCTCTATGAAACCTCAGACTGAATCCTGAGATCCTGACTCCTCCCACCTTATATTCCTCTCTCCATCCAGCCATATCACTTCCTACCTCTACTTCCCTAGTGCTGGGATAAAGGTGTGAGCCACCACTACTTGGCTCTGTTTCTCTTTTAGACTGATTCAATCTTGCATAGCCCAGGATGGCCTTGAACTCACAGAGATCTGCCTGCCTGTCTGTTGAGTGCTGGAATTAAAGGTTTGTGCCACCACTGCCTGGCCTCTATGGTTAACTAGTGTGACAAGCTCTGCACTCTGATCTTCAGGCAAGCTTTATTTGTTAAAACACAAACAGATATCACCACAGCAGTGGTTATACCAGAAAGGTTAAACACCCCCCCACACACACACTTGCACACACACACTTGGTACAATTGATCCAATTGATCCATGAAGGAATCTTAACAAAGGGTCTTCAGCTAACTGTGAATACAGAATTCTGTGTTGCAGTCAGAGGAAAAGTAAAGACTGGATGGACACCTTCCTCTTCGTGTCCTCTTTCTTTTTACACTCCTATTGTTAAATGATTTTTATAGACAAGGTGTTTACATGCTTATCTGTGTACCCTGCGCATGTCTGGTGCCCACAAAGGCCAGAAGAGAGCACCAGAACACCTGAAACTGGAGTTATAATTGCAAGCTGCCATGTAAGGGCATGAACTGAACCTGGGTCCTCTGCAAGAGCAGCAAGTTCTCCCACCTGCTGAGCCATTGCTCCTGTCCCAAATGTCCAAACTCCTTATCTCTGCCTTTTTTCCCCCACAAATATACTAGCTCTCCTCACTCCAATGTTTGGATTCTTGAGATATTAAATTGGTATTTAAGTGAAGACTTGATTTAAAAGAACATATTAGGACTGTACAGTGCTTTAAAGGTGCTGCTTTCTTCCATTGGTATGCCCAAGAAAGATTTGGCATGCCTGGAGTGGGAGAATCTGTTCTGGCACACGGGATGCTCTGGGGTGACACTGACTTCCAGTCAGCTGCCATCACCTTCTCCATCTTCCTCACCTGGATAGAATCACCCTACATGCTGTGCCAGACACTCATGCCTACATTTGTAGTAGGGGACAAGGGAGTATATTCATGGGAGAATCTCTGAAGTTCCAATGGAAGCTGCCCACCCTGTCAGGCAATTTCCTGGGTGCCTATCCTAGGTGGAGTAGGTGGTCACAGTCACTTAACCTAGCATACACTGGCCATGAGGGATAGAGAACTTCCAAATTCACCTTCAGAAGCAGAGACAGAGACACAGTAAAATACACACACACACACACACACACACACACACACACACAGTAAAGATATTCCAATTTTTTACAGTTAAAATTGTAAATCTTGTCACTTGTATACACACACACACACACACACACACACACACAAGATCAAATCAAATTTTTCAGGGTTGTGAAACACAAGCAGGGTAGGGTGTAAAGGGAGAAATCTGAGAAAGAACTCCATGTAGTGTAATGGAGAGACAATTATACAAAGTTAAGAACAAGATTCTGTCCACATACTTCAAATTGGCAACTCGTAGTTCCCTGCAAGGAAACTATGCCTGCAGCCACTCTCACCCCGCAATGTATAGCAAAGCAGATGGAACCAAGTCCAATTCCTTAGAACAATACCTGAGATGTAATCCTTCCTAAATGTCAGTTAAATGTGCTCCAAGAAGAAGGCTTAAAGGCTTGGCAACCGGTTCATCAATAGCTTGTCCACTTCTAAAGAGTCACATCTCCGCTGGTGTCTCTCTCTCTCAATCCAAGGAGTCAAGTCTTCCAGTGTCAGGGAAACAATAACCACCCATTAACATCCAGAATCGCAACTGAGAGCTACAGGGGCTCCTCCATCCCACACTCTTTGAAGAAAATAGTTCCTAGCTTGATGCCCTAAGAACTACCGTCATCTTCCTTTACATAACGTACATATGCAGTATTCAAAATAACTAACATTCCCTTCAAAAATGCTTCATGGTAATATTCTAGGACAAAGAGTTTGCGTTCTGTAAAGGGTAAGTCAGTAGTTAACCTTGCTGGCTGTGTATGCTTCACTGCTGCTGGGGTAGGGTAAACCGTAAAACCAGGTAAGAGTCAGGTAGGCAGGCCGAATTGTTTCATGTGAGCTAAGAGTATATATTTTAAAAATTTAACAACATGTTCAGAAACAAACCTAAGAAACAATAAATGATAGATTATTTTACATGCCTATAAAATCCAAAGGGGCTGGAGACATGGGATAGTCAAAGACATGTCACACGCTTGCAGAGGACCCAAGTTTAGTTCCCAGCACCCACGCTGGGTGGCTCACAGCAGCTGTAAGTACAGCTCCAAGGGTTCAGACTTCATCTTCTGGCTTCCGTGGGGCAACTGTGCTCATGTTGGCACATAGCCTTATAGACACCCACTTACCGCTAATTAAAACTAAAAGTGAATAGTTAAAAAAGATGTTGAAATATTTGAAATGTTTATTAGAGAAAAATTGATTGTAGAGAAAGTTTGTTCTTAAAATGTTCAGTTTTCCAGACTCACAAGGGTATCAGAAGAAAAAAAAAAGAAGTATTGTCTCCCATTTTCTTCAGTACACACAAATCTGGTTTACTTTTTCAAAATAACACCAATCATTTTCAAGGCTGGAAAAAAAAGTCGCTTGACAAAACTCAACATCAGTTCCTAATTAAAAGCAAGCAGCAAACTGGTATGAGAAAACGTTTCTTCATCTGTATTAAAGATATCCGTGTCTACTAAGAAACTACAGCCTGCACCTTTTTAAAGGCCAAATAACTTCTAAAGTCCAGAGAGAAGGAAACATGTGTGCGTGCTCTCTCTTTCTCTAGTTCAACCTGGTAGCCGAGGTTTTAACTATTGTAATAATGCCATCAATGGGGCCAAGGGGATCTACATAACAGGGTTGGACATCCTGATAGAGGCTTGTGTGTGGTGCACAGCTGTGATACAAAAAGTTCTTATGCAAAAAAAAAAAAATCTGGAGTAGGAATGAGGAGTCCAATCCCCTTAAAGGACAAAGAAGAAGTTCCCCTGACTTCTCTGGTGTCCCCCTTTCTAGTACTTACTTGAGTCCTGAGGCATCTGCATGGCTGTTTCCCAAAAAAGCCGGACCAGCCACATCACACAGCACTCGCTCCTGTGAGAAAGTTCGCTCCCGGAAGGACTGCATGCTCTAAAATGTTGGTCCCAAAATGGAATGCGGAGCTTGAGTGTCTCTCGGAGTCAGAGCCTTCAACAATAAATAGCAGCCCGGTAGCTTTCTTCCGGCTCCAATGTTGTCTCCCGACCCGACAGGCTCATGTGTTCCCTGTTGGCTAGTCTGATTGCCTCCTCGTTTTGAAGTTCACTTATTTCAGCCATGATAATCCTTCCAAGTTTCGTTTTGGTTTCACCTAGTGGATCAAAATAAGAGTCTCCGGCAATTCTCCAGATCACATTCTTCTCAAATGAGTCAACAGACTGAGTCACATCAAACTTCTTTGGGCCAAGTATTGAATAGTTTTGCATTATGCCCAGCTTTGAATGAATGACAGTTGGATAATCTGATGGCAATCCATGGGCACATCTGGCATTCTCAGCCTCACATGCTCTGTCATCAGGCCACATAATGAACTGGGGATGTGGCCAAGTCTAGAACGCATCTAGCATACATAAAATCTTGGGTTCAACCCTTGACATCACAAAGCACACAAACTAAATACTGAAAAATCAGGACATGTTAATGAACTGCCTCTAAAATTATTGCAATCAGTTCTGTGGTCATGTTCAAAGGAAACTTCTAGAAGTAATCACTATTTTTGAATCCAGCTTCTTCAAGTCTGAAACACTGGCTTCCAGATTTTGAAGGTCTGGGGCCCCCTTTAGGAAACTGAAGAGTGCTGCAAACCTTTCTATATATCCACATTTACATATAGGCATTTTAGTGCAGAGATTAGCCCAGGCAGCATGCAACGACATGTACAGTGGCAGTAATATCTGCATACATGTTCTCTATATGGCCAATGCATGTTTAAAGCTAGCTTTTCTTTTCTTTTTTTTTTCCGATTATTAATCAGCAGCGATATGCCAATTTCATCATCGATTCAGCATATAGATCATATCTATATGACGATCGACAGCAGTCGCAAGCAGGATTCCAACCTGCGACCTTGGCACAAGGCACTCAGCGTTAGGTGCTCCTACCACTCTGAGCCACTGCCCGAGCTGGTTAAAGCTAGCTTTTCAATCGTAGTTTACTAACATGAAGATTGTAGAGCATATTCAGTCCTCACAACAACCCTGTGAGGTGGGTATCATTATCCCAATTTTGACCTTGAGGAAACCAAAGTCCAAAGACATCAGGAGATTTTCCAACATGAACGTGGCCCAGAACAAGAACACTGACTTGTGTACTCAGTTCAAGTGCAGAGTGTTTAGGGTAGGGATCAGGGCTTCTGCTATCCCTCAAGGGGAAACTCGGTGTCAAACCCTTTCAATATGGGCATGTCAGCGAAAGCCCCCCAGGACTCTGTAAAGTTGCAGGCCATTCTCCGAGGACTGCCAACAGCAAGCCTGTCATTTGACATTGCTAACTTTGAAATAGAGAATCCAACTCCATTTCAAACCAAACCCAACCTGAAATCAGCAGCAGCAAGTCACCCAGGTTTGTTAGGGAGGTTGAGACTTCCTTTTGCACAGTAGCTGTGAAATAGTCAGTTCATAGAAGACAGCAGAGTGTTGGGAGAAGAGGCAAAGGAAAAGAATCGTTCACCCAGGGGAAAATACAAGACCTGGAAAACAAACTTTCCAACTTTATGAAGGATTCAGATGTCGGGAAATTTGCATACTGCCTCTATACACAATCATCCAGAGAAATCAAGGGAGGAACCCATAAGCTAGTCACCCTTATGGTGCTCAGCTCTTATGACATCTGCTGGAAGGAACGAAGAGAGAGTGGGTGTACAGCTCGACACCATCACAACGGTTGTGAACCTGGGTTGGGTCCTTGGCAGCTAGACGCCGTCCAAGAATAGTGGCAATCTGAACGTTTCAAAGGCCCATGGCCAAAGAGAAAAAAACATGGTGCTGCTGCCATGTGAGTAGCTACCTCTCTAGAACACCATCCCTCATTACAGAACCATGAACAGCAAACGTTCCTCAAGCCCTTGGGTAAAATGACAGTGATACCACTAACGGTAGTGCCTGTCTGTGCTTTGGTCTCCATTCATTTTGAACTCTGGCCAGGAGACCTGTCCATTGCAAGACCATGGCAGAAAGAGTTTCCCAGACCAAGTCAAGCACTAGGCTCCCGAAACTCTGGAAGCTCGCAACTCATTTCTCAGGGCCGGCTTTACCGTTCCAAGCTAGATGGAACATGATCCTTGGGCTCCCTCATATCCTGTGGGTACTGTGTGGATAGGTCTTCAGAGCTCGTAAAATAGCAAACACACACAACTCCAAAAAAGACTCTATAAGAGAAAGTCCAGCCTCAGCAAGGACCCCCCTCCATCTCTCAACAATATCTTCCCCTACAACAGTAAGGTTTTGCTGTGCTGCTCGGGTTTCCCAGCCTGCAGGAGCCCAGGCATTAGATGCCAAATTCTTTGCCTTTGCTTTCTGGTTTTGTTAGTTTGGGAATGCAAGGTAGCTTTTCCCCCACCTCTAATAAGGCTTATCCGTTTCTCCCCTCCCCGCTTCATGATGACCACAATAAAAGACAAGGCGAGCTGCTACTAGACAACCCACAGCAACATGGAGGGCACTTTGAGAAAAGAAATGCACAGCTCTCCCTGTCAATGACTGTGGGCCCAACCACAACCCAGGGCTCCTCCCACCCGGCTCATTCCAGTTGCCTGTTCTGTGCTTGTAACGGTCCCAGTTACTGGCCAAAGGCAACCAACAATGATGCTGTGAGTCCCTTGCTGACACAGATCAGCTGCTCTCTAAACTAAAGTCAAGAGTTGCTGAGATAGCTCCTCCTTCATTTTGGGGACTTTGGGTGTCTTTGCCCCTCTCCTCCTCTATGCCCAGGAAAGGCAGTCAGTGGAGACACAATTTCATTCTTTCTACAAAAGGCACTCCTTCCACCATGCAACAGGAGACTGTCACAGCTATCCCTGTGCCTACTCAGCACTTGGCAAGGGTTTGAAGGTAAGGAGGAGGAGGACAGGAAGAAAGTAGAGGGAGAGGAAAAGGTTTCATCTCCTGGTTCTGTTCTGGTTTCGTAGAGCATTCTGGACTTCCTTCCCATTGTTCTTTTCCTTAGGGTGTTCCTCTTTTTCTTGATTATTTCATCTTCTCCTGACCCCCATCATCTCTGTTGCTGGAGCCTAACTTCTCTCCCATTTTTAATTCCCTGTCTATATTCTTATCTGGGTTTCTGCTTTGATACTTTTCTGAGTTTTTTTTCCCATTTTTTCTGAATACAGTTTACCTTTAAGGCAACGGTCAGACTGACTTAAGTAGCAATAGTGATGAAGGGCTTCATCTAAGCACTCGGAGAGGCAGTGTCCATCGGTCCACAAGTGACTCACTCTCTTCTGTTACATGGGCATCACTCAGAAGCTCTTCCAGTTACCATCAACCTAGAAACTAACATCCACATTGGGCTTTCATCCCATTCTCTCATCATAGTCTCATCTCCAACAGAGCTGGGTACCACTTGGAGCTCCTTCTTAGATCTCATCTGGTCTCTGAAGTTTATTGCTTTCCACTTATGGCCTCAGCTAGAGAGTACTTGGCATATGCTGTCGAAGAACATGACCCCAGGTTCCCACCTGTCTGTGACACTCTATCATTGAGCCCAGAGGACAGAGTTCCAGATGAGGCAGGGAACCTAGTACCCATTAACCTCAGGCATTTTTTGGTGATGTTAAAGGATACCAGAGAGAAAGAAACTATCAAAAATGAAAGAAGGCTTTCTAATTCTGGAAGATGGGTAATGGACAGAAATATAGTGGCCAGACATTAGAAGAAGATCTAGGCAAGCCAGGGTGTGATTCATGGAAACTATGGACCTAACAGGACTCTCGTGCATCAGTGGCACCCAACTCCCACAGCTTGGTGCCGCATCCTGGACCACAACAGTTAGAGGGTATTCAATTCCCACAAGTTAATTCCCAAATTCTTAAGAGTCCTTAGAATTAAACCTAAACTGCTGCTTCATCTTCTCTGCATTATTGTTTTATTTTTTCGGGATCACTTAGAATTAAAAACATAAATCTACAAAGAGAAGAATTTTTGTCCCCATCCCTTGAGGTCAGGACACCCAACAACATACATCTCAACAACATACATGGTCAACCTTCTCTGATCAATACCACTACACATGTGGCTATTCATAAATAGGTCTAAGCTACTTTAAAATGAGATTTAATAATGACCACACCAAAGGATAAAGATAGCGTTTCTTAACAGCGCAGCAGCCTTTTACTGGGAACACCATTTCATTTTTCCAGTTTGTGGCTTCAGAAAGGACACCTCCCCCTATTCTGTTCCCCAGTGCCTGTCAACACTGGGGTTTCCGCACCCAGACTGAAGTCTAAAATCATTTCAGGATTTCAACTTAAGAGTTTCATAAATGACTATCTCAAGCTTCAGAGCTTCTTCATGCAAGCCATACAGCCACCCTAAAGGACAAAAGGAAGTTTCCCTCCAGGGGCATAAGTTCTGGAGGACAATATTCTTTATTTTAATCCTTTCATCCTTGTAATGTTCTTGTTAAAGTGACTTCAAATGACATCAAAGTGACTCAAGAATCACTATTTTTTTTCTTTCTGTGTAGAAAGAATGCCTCTCAATTGAGGTCATGGATTTGATATTAAAAAGGAGCAAAGGAGAAGTGGGTTAGGCAGAAACACCTAGGCTCCTAGAGCTTGACCGAGCCCTAAGAACTAGGAACAGGAGCTGAGCGGTGTAGGGTAAAACCACGGACCCTTGGAAAGTTCCTTCTGGGCTTCATTCATTCAAGTGAGATAACTCAAAAGGCAGGAGACATGCCAGCTCTCTTGTCAGAAAAACCTGGCTCAACATCTCCAGTCTTGCGCAATAGAGAAGGCACCTGTGGAGCTGTGAGTGCAAGTCAAGAGCCCACAGAAGAACACCACGCGTCCCAGACCCATATCCCTTTTCTGGGACGGCTTTGAAATGTTTCCAAACATCTCTCCAAACAAAAGGCCACCAGGCAAACCAGTAGCATTATTTACTGGTTTCGCACAGTGCCTACCTAATCTTGCCCTAAGGCCACTGTCACCACAAGAATATATAGCTCTGCCACCGTTCAAGGTCTTGGTAACAGTTTAGGGTTTGGGAAGATGGGCTCCCCCACCCTGCCCCCACTGCCCACCAGAGCCTTATGGAGGCTAGCGGCTGCATTCTTGGTGGGGCCAGCCTAACTGAAAGGCACTGGGCTGGAATGGCCAACGCCTTCCAACCGCCCCTGAAGGGTTTTCCCGTTCCAATTACTAGGATGTCTGGGACTGGCTGGGACTTCCGGTGCTGCCTGCCAAGCGTGGAGCCAATGGCTAGGCTTTCCAGTAGACTCCAAGCGTGCGCACGTGCATTCCTGTCTGTTTTATCAGTGCAGTTGATCACCGAGCTCAGGGCACGTTGGTGGTAGTGGCCGACGCTTCATGAGGCCTTCGGGAACCTCTCACGGGCTCAGAGACCTCAAGAGGGTGGGTTTTGAAATCAGGGCCCGAGTTTGAGCACACTATACCCAAGCTGTGAGACTGGCCCCACCCCCTTTTTGAGCCTCGTAGTCTTTGACGGAGTTGAGTCATCTGGGACACTTCTGGATCAAGGCGTCGAGGGGGGGGAAGGGGGCTGCCCAAGTCTCATCACGGAATCTCCCACCCCCTGTTGTGGCGAGCCTCTTGCCAGTCGGCCCTTGACTAGCTCAGAAGTCCTGCTGGGGCTTGCTTGTTCTGGGGAGCAGGGGCATCTTGCCACCATGTTTCAGGTCCTCTTCCTTCTTTCCTAGCATGTTCTATGGTGTTCTTTACCAAACCTCTCCAAGCCACATTTACTGCATCTTTGATGTTGACTGTCGGTTATTCTATTAAGCCCAAATGCCTTTTGTGAACTAGATAGAGTTATATACTTGCTACTATGTGCAGAATTTTGTGTAATGCTATTTCTTAAACGCATACGTTTAATAAGCTTCATTTTTCTAAATGTGTTTTTACTTGCACATTTCTTGGTTGCAGTCTTAATAAACATTCCCTTTGCTATTTAGCTTCTTTGAGTTCTTTGAACACCAATCTCACAACATCCTGCAAGATTGAAGCTCCTTTTACAAACGCTGACTGTTTTACACCCTCCGAGACAATTGATTTGGGTTTCTTACACTTAGTTACGATGTTTTAGCCAGAGAGAGCAGTGGCCAGACAGCAAGAATTTGATTGTGATGAGGGATAGTTTTCATATTCTTTTTTTACAATGTGTTTTCCACAGTGTAAGTACGTTAAAGATATTTTCAGTTTCAAGTGAGAAACTATGGGATCAGGCAAGATTAGAGCCAACTGATGATTTAAGAGAACCCAGCCTGCCTTCCAACCTTCCTTCACCATGGTTTCAGCAAGAATTGGAAAGGAGGCCATGGAAGCTGGCAGAGAGGCTAGGCAGTGGACAGGCTTAGTAGTGATTCTGATCATGGTTTGGGAGGCTGGGAAATTTGTTTCCTTAGAGGTTCCTAACCGAGGGGCCAGCCAGTCCACCTTGCTCGCTCACTCGTACTCCTAAGCCAAGCACTAGGAAGTGACTTGGGAGCAGATGGCATTCTGTCATTAAGGGTTCATCTACAGCCTGGTCAGTCCCTGGCTGTGTTTGGTCTCCAGGCTCCTTTCCTTGATTTTATTTGTAGGTCTAAGACCTAAACTCCAAGCTCATTAAAGCGTGTGGAATGTTTGGAAGTGTCTAGAGACTTTGAAATCAGAAAGGACTGGCTTTCCTCCACATCACACACCTGCTAAGTGTGTGACCCTGGGCAAATTCTGGAAAAGCAGAGCCTCTGGGTCTGCACCCACCACCGACCACAACAGGAAGGAGAGTCAGTAATCATTTCTACCTCCTCCACCCTGTCCATGTAACGTAGCCCCAAACCCAGGCTGATCTGACTACTCCTGCACCCTCTAGGACTCAGCAGCCTTCCTTATCCCCAGTCAAAAATCTCACCCTTCCATGGCAAGAAGGCCCTAGTGGGGAAGCCTATTTTGGTAGGAGCCTCTGCCTGAAGTCCCCCAACAGAATCCCATTTCCCACCTCCAAGAACACTTTTAAACACTCCATCCTCTGCTCTGTCCTTGGCTGTGACCCCAGGGGGTACCTTTTCTGCTGTGGCATTTTCTTGATTTTCACAAACGCAGAGCCGCAACCAACACTGGCGCCGTGGAGCACATCTGCGGCAAAGGGGTCCGCTTCCCAGCAAGGCCGCTCACAACAGACGCCACTCTACAACATCTCGGAGGCCTGTTTCTCCCTGTATCCCTGGTGCCCGCAGGGACAGCGTCTTTAACCTCTCAAGTCCAATCTGTCCCCCCGTGCCCTCTAAGGGTCTGATGACAGGTGTCTAACAGTCTGAGAGAGGCACCTCCAGCTTAGCTTGCCAAACGAAGTTTCAGGGGTCTCCTCAGATCCAAACAGTCCATGGGAAACAGCCTTTGGTGGAGCCTGGGAGGCCCACTGTCTTGGAGGATCACTCTGTTTGCCCCAGCTGGGTGTGCTGAGCAGCTGGAGAACTATGTGAACACGTGGCTATCGGTGTGGGAGGAAAAAAAAGGGACGACCCCTGGGCTGGAGAATCTTTCAGCCTTTTGGTTACTAGTTTCAGCCTCGGGTATCAGGAACTTGGAGAGCATTATGAATGAAAATGAAAAAATCCATGACTTGGAAAGGAGAGGGAACACACAGAGGAGAAAGACAAACTTTCAAGGGATAGCTGTCAGATGGTAAACATAAGGCAGGCTGAATGGCATTAAGAGCCATGCATTGATTTCCCCACATTGTAAGTAGCTGGGTTTTCCTTTCAAAAGAGACTGGGAATAGATAGCCTTTTTTTTTCTTTATACATTTGATAATATGTTGCTTAAGAAGAGCTACACTTCAAATTAAATGTTCCTGAAACATGAACAAGAGCAAATACTTATATGTGCGCATACATATAGAAGAAGATGGAATAATATTAGCCCAGGATGTAGATACTATGCCCAAAATGTACACACACAACATAGCAGCTGTCTATATTATACAAAAACTCTGTTCAAGATTCAAAGAGAACTTGACTTTTAAAATAGAATTTAATGAGTGATTCAAAAATACCACCTCATAAATCTTCTGGGAGGTCTCAAAATCAGACAGAATCTTCACATTCACATATGAAAGCCAGCATCTCACCCAGCTAAGAATATCACTCTGCCCTCACAGGATGATGTCTAATTCCCTCACTGGGAAGCAACATATGACGGGGCTGAGAGCTCAGGACCATTTTGGGAACAAGGACCAGGGTCCTGTAGTAGGCACACAAAGCTGGGATTCTGGGAATTCAGTCCTCAGACTATACAAGAGCTGGTATGTCAGCTGGCTGGTGTATATATGGTCATCTTTCTGATGTATATTAAACCTATGTTGCACCTGTGTCTATTCCTTGATAACTTGTCCATGTGCATACACCCCCATATGACCACACACAGACACATGTATACACTAAGACAGTTCAGCAAAAATTATATAGACTTTGAAAGAGCAAGCTAAATAATGGAATATGGTTGCTTTCCTTTGAAGAATGCATATGCTATTATGAAATAGTGAGAACTTGCTGATATCAGACTGGCTTAATTATTGAAGTTTCTTGCCTGTAATTGGAGCCTCCACAATGGTTCCTAGAAAGATGCTCTACCCAACTTCATGACCCTGAAAGTCCCAGAAGAAACACTGCCAAGGGCTTGATGCCTATTGAAGTCCACAGAACTTTCATGTTAGGTAGGAAGGATCCATATCTCAGAGATGATGGTGAAGGATGGAAACCATTAGTCAGGAACCAAGTCTGGGCCATATCCCCTGGAAAGGCGGGATGTGTGAAGAAGACATTGAGGCAACACAATACACAAGATTGTGGTTCTAACTGTAGAACTATGGGGTGGAATCAAGTGAGAGAAAGTTCAGAGTGTCTTCCAGAAGGAGTCTGTGTGAGGCTTAATGAGCAGAAGTCAAAGTGGCTTTGGGGTGGTCACGTCTTCCTGCCCCTGGGAATGGTACCTATGGAGGACAGGGAACGACACTTTCAGTGAAAGGCAGATTTCTTATGAAGGTGGCATTGAGTTTTTTGACTTAAGTTGGAGGCAGATGTAAAAGCTTTTAGTTCATTTTTAAAAAAAAATAGAAAAGGGGGAAAATAGGAGGCTAGAGAAATGACTAAGCAGTTAGGAGCACTGACTGCTCTCCCAGAGGTCCTAAGTTCAAGCCCCAGCAACCATGTGGTAGCTCAACTTACAACCATCTGTAATAGGATCTGATTACCTTTTCTAGTATGGATAAAAACAAAGCACTCATATATATATAATATATTATAATATATATATATTAAAAAATAGTAATCTTATCATTTGAATAACCTTATCTCTTGAACCCTAGAAAAGAAGAGGGAAAATAAAGACTGTAGCTTAAAGGCAGCATAAGCAAAGGCATTGAGTTTGATATCCAGCATTGGAAGGGGCAGAGGATGGGGGGAAAACACACATATTCAGCAGTATACACAGAAAAACTCATAAGCTGAGAGAATATATGTCCCGAAGGTTACCATATAGTAGAAACAGAGGAAGTCAGGGCAAACAAGCACAACAGCACGGACGTATGGAAATGAGGTTGCTCAAAAGACAGGTGGGGGGGATTGGTGCAGGGAAAGCAGGTGGGAGGCGGAAAACAGGATCTCAAAGCAATAAAATGGGACGGGGCTTCTGGAGATGTGCACCCACCGTGCAGAAGGAATAAAGAAGTCACCCTGACTAAAGAGCCAGGGGTGGAAAAGTGACAGAGGACATTTTGCCTCCGGAGCAGCTAGGTGACATTGGGTGAGAGATACTTAAAAACCTGTGCCCCATTTTCCTCAACTGTAAAATGAAGCTGAAGTAGCAATGCCAAGTCCCTAGGGATGTTGGACAGGTGAAATAAGATCCATAGATGAAGACTGAAAGAGTTCACTGATCCCTGGTTCTCAATGTTC